TTAACACAATATTATAATTAAAATGATATTCTTCTCAAGCCAATGTTTTCTTGATGTGACACTGAGTGTGCAGTCATGTGCTCACAGTACAGGCACAGTCTTTACTGACACACAGAGTAGCCAAGTGAGTCAGAAATAGGACTCCCAGCCTGGGTGAAATTAGTAAACTTGGGAATATTAGTTTGAAAAGTTTTTCACCTAATTATTGAATTATTGAGTGATTTTGGTGGGAAACAGGCCACAGAATGTTTTGCAAATCATAGACACCGGAGGAGAGCCCTGGAGCTGGTTTGCTGGGTGAGTGGCCTGGGCGCAGCCAAGAACAGAAGCACACAGCCCACGGCTGTAACACTGTTCACACCAGGAAGAGGGATGCTGGATCTGACAAAACTCCAGAGGGGGAAAAACATTTCAGTACTCTTTGTAAATCCTGGATTAGGCAAACTTCATCTGCCATATTATTATTAACCCTTTTACCATTCACACCGCTTTCTCTATTTGTTGACACAGTCCCAGCCTCTGTAAGCATCTCCTGAAGCAAATGGTCTGGAATTGATTTCTTATTTAAAAACAAATTTGCATTTACTTATTTGGAAAATTTGTCTAGTCCTTCTTAATTTTTCTTTCATTGCCACAAAAATGGTGGTAATTTTGCTAGCCCACAGTACCTGTTTTCAGACAGCCTCCCCTTTGTCAGCTGCTCACAGAGGGGATGACATAAGGCAGCAAGCCGGCTGGCGAGCCAGGCCGAGAGAGAGACCACCACTCACATCCCAGCTGCAAGCTTACCGGCAGCAGGCCTGGGGTTTGTTACACTCTGAGCTCCTGTTCCTCAGCTGTATTATGGGAGTAATAACTGCCTCACAAGGCTTTCCTAAGAATTAAAGTAACCATATTGTTATAATAGAAAGCAAGCACTCAGCTCCTTCTCACTAAGCGTCTGTCTTTCCCTGGCTCTGATGACGACCTTACACAGCCACCTGCACTTAGCACTCTAACCTTCCCTTTACTCACACCCAAATGCTATTCCGCTGGGGAGAAAAATCACAAATTTCTTAAGCGTTAAAATAAGACTGTAACTCTATGAAAAAATGCAATAAAAATCATGCATTAAAAGTAGTCAAAAACTCAAGTTTTGTGACTTTCCTAAAGGATTGATTTGTTAAGTAAAGCCAATTAACAAATCTAAGTTTGAGTAGAATGTGCAACTTGCCTTTGAAAAGAGATGCTCTCTTCATATAATGCTGTAGGCCAGCCTTTACCTTCTCTACACTGTCAGAAAACCACAGCCACAGCCACTGACATATGACAAAACTGGAAAATATATTTATCAACTCGTTCTCTAAGTACTATGGTAATTCATTAAAATTGTTTGCTTTTTTCTGAAAGGTAATACTCATGAACTGTAGAACCATATAAATAATAATGAAATCATAAGAGAAACCAAAAAAAAGTTACCTAAGAATTCACCAGATACTACTAATAATTTGATGTTTCCTGCCCATCTTTTCTTCCAATAGCATTTTTTAAAGAGCTGACCATAGTGTGTCATGCTTTTTTAAATGTTACAGAATACACCAAGCTGTGAACTATTACATAAAATAAAATCTTAAGCCCTCTGCTAACTCCTGAATCTCTCTTAGCCAAGGGACCCCAGAAACACCTTAAAACTCAGTCCCCAGCCGTGACAGGATGGGGGAGATCAAGCACAATTACAAATGTACACGATTTCCCTTTTTCATAAATATTCCGGATCCCTATAGCTTGACAGATATGTACATTTGCCTCCACTGTGCAGTATGAAAATCTTGTTGCTTTTGTCTGTCCCGGGCTCTCCTTTCCACCCTGTAGGAATGGCCACTCAGCAGGCTGCTACCCTTTAAGAGAAATGAAACTCTCCTTTTCTGAAGTATAAACCTTGTTAATATTTTTAGTTAACAAAGCTAGTATATATATATATTTTTTGAGACTCAAACAGGCTCACACTGTTGCCCCAGGGTAGAGTGCTGAGGTGTTATCCAAGTTCATGGCAACCTCATACTCCTGGGTATAAGCAATCCTCCTGCCTTATCTTCCCGAATAGTCGGGACTACAGGTGTCTATCATGACACTCAGCTAATTTTTCTTTTTTAAGTAGAGATGGGGTCTCACTCTTGCTCAGGCTGGCGCTGAACCCTGAGCTTAAATAGATCTCTTGCCTCGGCCTCACAGAGTGCTAGGATTATAGGTGCCAGCCACTGCATCTGGCCTAACTAGTGCATTTTTAAAACATTACAATTGTCTGCCTTATTTTATTGATTCAAAGAACTAAATCTTTTTTAATCACTTGGAGCTCTGGAAATAGTACTTTTTTTTCCTGGTAGCTTAAAGTAGAGAATAAATCTGAGAAATTTATCCATATACCTGCCATACATGGATAATTAAACTGTGGTAGGATTTATGTTACTTAATGTTAATAGAAATCTATCTTACATGAATGACTTTACATGTTTTGGCAACAAGAAATGGCCTAAATGCTTAAACTGCATTTCATGTATTTCACTAAATGTCCTTATACCCGTTCTTTAAACATAGAAAACCAGGGTAATGCTGCTGGTAGGCAAGCCCTAATCCATACTCACCCACTCTCGGCCCTCAGCTTGTGGGGGGTGACAGATCAATCTGTCCTGCCTATTTAGTAAAAGCACACAGTTTATGATGTTTCCAGACTCATTTTTTCAAGTCACCTTATCATTTCTTGTACTGACTGCTATCATGACTTTAAACTCTAGCACCTAAAATGGGTACTAAACAAAATCTGCTGAATAAATGAATGCCTTATATCTGTAATCCCAATTTTCTACTTCAAGTACTGAGATTAATTCAGTTAACAAAGTTAATTATGATCCTTTCTATAGAACACACAGTGTTCTAGTTAATATTGGTTTGATGTCACATGTGTTTGCGTTTTAATGATACAAAGTATACTTTGGCTTGCATTGTTGAGGCAGAATAACATTTTCTGGGAATCAATGAACAAAGAATCGTAGCAATTCTTTAAATAACTTGATTTAAAAAAAAAGGTGACTGTTGGGCGGTGCCTGTGGCTCAAAGGGGTAGGGCGCTGGCCCCATATACCGGAGGTGGTGGGTTCAAACCCAGCCCTGGCCAAAAACTGCAAAAAAATAAAAAATAAAATAAAAAAAGGTGACTATCTTCTTTGTATAATATGGTACAGATCAAATGATTTCATGCAGAATACAATGAAATGAGCACAAATACTTATGGCTTTTGAGGTTAAAAGAAACGATCGATAAAGAAATGTCCTATTTTTACTTTAGTTAGCAATTTCACGAATTAGTATTGTAATTTCATAAAATGCCTTATCTAGCAAAATGATATTTTTTCCTTTTGGTTAGTAATATGATAAATTCTATTAAAGGAGTGTGCAATGGTGAAAGAAAAGAAACATTCCGATGTGGCTAAAAATATTTTTAGTTATAATAAAAGTCTAGAACTGGAACTTCAGTTCCAAGTTGCCATGTGATTGTGAGATTCCAAGGAGGGACTACAGCTCTGAAAAAGTCTGCAGAATGGAGCTTCTCTACATACATCTGAGACACCTCAGAGAATGTTATGGCAAAGCAACTAAAGAACGGCCAAATCGAGCAGTCAGGAAATCAAGGAACAATACCATTCTGAAAAACTCCAAATCACACATTTTGAATATGATCTGGTTGGCTAGCTGGCCTCAAATTCAACCCTGCCATTTTGGTTCACCTAGCAAATTTGCAAAGTCCATGTAATTCTTAGAGTGTTATTTGTTTAAAGCAAATGTTTTACCTTTTTTCTCTAAGAAATAAAAAAAATTACAACTAAAACACACTCAACGCTAGCAATCCAACATTCATACATACAGGAGCAACCCTGTATGACACCAGCAACAGGTGAACAACAGAGCAAAGAAAAGCTCGGAAGAGTTGGGAAAGTCAGCGTCAAGCTATGTATTTTGTTACTGTCTTTTCAATAACCTTAAGACACACTGGGGGTGTCCTCTTTCATAAATCAAACCTACTCTAGAACAAATAGCAAAAGTTAAGTTATAAAATGTACCGGTAACTTGGTAGCCCTAAATTTTTAAGTAAAAAAGGAATTATACATAGAAAAAATGTTTTGTTAAAAATATCAGTTTATCATCCAGTTAGCTAAAATCAAATAAACTTTATTATAAAGTGACAAGAAACTTAAGCTTCTGGTCCTTAATAGGTACAAATACGCTTAAGATTAGGGTAAAACCTCCACTAATGGTATTGTTTTTAATGATACATGACTAACTTAAGCAACATGCCCATCATCTTTTATATGAAAAGTTCCTGATTAACTTACACATTCATTTGACATCTGCCACCAAGCAAACTATGGCTTATTTTATCATACTTTTATTTTGTTAAATAAGACATTTAAATAATCTAATCATTTAATGTCAAAAACAATGACATTTAAAAAATAATTTAGAATAATTTTATAGCACAAACAAAAATTATACTTCCTTCCCTACAGCTAATCTTCTAATTGGAAAATTGCTTTACTATATATACAAATTTAAAAATCAATGGTACT